CAGATTTCTGTCCAAACTTCTCAGTGAGGAATAATCATCTTCCTGAAAGAGGATCTACATAATCACAGAACATCAGGGCTGATGGAAACCTCAGTTAAAGCTAATTCTTCACTGACCTCTGATGCTGAAGTCAGTAAACAGGAGTGCATTCAGCATGGTGGGAGAGAGTATGAAGGGTCCAGTGTCAGGAAGAGCTTGGGTAGAAAGATCACTAAAGTCCTGAATGTTGGGCCAAGTCCAGTCCTGTTGTAGTTGTCCCATGCCTCCGCCCACCATCCTTTTGAGCTTCACTGATTCTAAGACAGATGGGGACCACCATGCTGGGGCAGCAGCCTGAGACCCCCCAAATAAGACCCCAGGACCCTATAAACTATTACCCTTTGTAACATGGCATGTTTTGACAGATATGTCATGGAACTCTGCTAGAACCATAGAAGTGAACATTTTCATGAAATGAGAAATTGTTGCCAAGAAAAAAACCTAAATAAGCCCATTAGCTTTAGTTGCTCTTAGTCAACTTTTAAAAATCACTAATTGTGAAGGTCATGCCGCATGGCCATACATTGCCAATTTCCAATAGCTTTGCTGAAAAGTAACACCTCCGAGGTGTGGGTTATAACACTTTGCAAAACCTTAAATGAAGGCACATGTGCTAAATCACCAGCTCTTCATTTGAATCTACAGATACCTGATAGGTGATATCTAAAACGGGATGAAAGACTTGCTATCTCTGTCATCCTTTGTGTCTGTCTCCTTTGCTTTCTTAACCCTTGGGTCAGTTTCTGCAATGCAGGCCTAACTTGATCATTGCCCGCTGGAGCAGGTATATGTTTCTTGTACCTCACCCTTGTGCTTTTTCCATAACTCAAGCCCTGAAAGTTTCTATAAGGATAGAATGTTTATACAAGCTGATGACACCAGGTGTAAAAGTAATTCAGTGGTTCCTGGACAAAGCTGGCCCTGTTAGCCCACTAAACATAAGGCCGGGATGTTTCTGCACAAGAAACAAAACGAAATAAATCTTCAGGAACCATGCTCTCGAAAGTGGAAATTACCAGGCTTTAGGCCATTTCAACAAAAACGTGTTACTGTGTTCTGTCAGCAGCCTGGTCCTTTTCTCCCTATTGCAGGCTCCCTTTAGCTGAAGCTCCAGTACATCTGAAATTCCTTCTGGCTACCGCTCCCTATAAAGCTTTGTGTGTTCTTGCACTATTTGGCCCAGTCTCATTGGTCAAAACATCCCACCATCAATATCACTCTATCTGAGTTTTGTGAAAACAAGACTAGAATTGTTAAAAGACCAGGCCCTGAAGAAAATAAAAATTGGTTTGGCTGACTTAATTCAGGATATGCTTAAAAACTAACACCTTACCCCTCCCTGTTCTTCTCTGCAACTTTAGGCTTCTTTCCTCTCTAAGGCAGAGGCAACAAGAACATCATTCATTTTAGGAGCGCTTTGTTTCCCATTCCAAACTCATTTGGAATGCAGGACAAATGATTTCTCATCAAAGTGGAAGAGGTAATCAGTCCTGCTTTTTTTTTTTTTTTTTGCGGAACTGGGGATTGAACTCAGACCCTTGTGCTTGCCAGGAAGCACTTATTCCACTAAGCCATCTCCCTGGCTCCTTTTTTTTTGTATTTTAGGGAAGGGTCTACAGGGTATTCTGGGTCTCACTACTAGATCGGGCTCATAGTGATCCCCTGTTTACAGTCTCCCAAGAGACTGGAATTACAGGCGTGCACCACCACACCTAGTCTCAACTGCCATCTCAGTATGCCCCAGGGGCAGGCCCCACATGGCAGGCCCAGGGATCGAACCCCAGGTCCCTGCACCTGCTTGCAGGTGCTTTAATCCACTGAGCTATTTGGCTGGCCCAATCTGTCCTGTTTGATTTAATTGTTAGACAATACTTTCAATGCTGCTCAATCACAAAACCTTCCTTGTAGCGAACAGGGGCGGGGAAAGTATATTAAAGGTCATCAGTGAGAAACAGAATGCCTGTAACCCCAGCAATTGAGAGGCTGCGACGGGAAGACTGAAAATTTGCACCAAGCTTGGGAGACATAGCAAGAATTTATGGTGGAGAAGAGAGGAGAGAGGAGGAAGAGCAGGGAGAGGGAAGAGGGAGGAGGAGGAAAGAGGGAGGGGGAAAAGGAGGGTAAGAAGGAGGGAGGGAAGGCAAGAGGGAGGGAGGGAGGGAGAAGAAGGGAGAAAAGAAAGGAGGAAGGCAAGGAGAGAGGAAGGGAAAGAGGGGAGAAAGGAAGGGAAGGGAAGGGAAGGGAAGGGAAGGGAAGGGAAGGGAAGGGAAGGGAAGAAAAGGAAGGGCTGGAGGAATAGTTTGGTATGATGAGCCTGGGTTCATTCCCAACTACAACAACCAAAAAAAGTGAATTTTGTAGTATATGAGTTATATCATAATACAGTTATTGTTTTAAAAGAAACTATAGAAACCTAGCACTATAGGAACTTAAGAAGAGGTAAAATAGTTGGAGAAGCCTTCACGAAGGACTTGCATTAAATCTGAAAAATTAAATTGGTGGACACAGATGTTCAGGGTATATACCCAGGAAGGATATAATGAAAGATACCACACAGAAAAGCTGCATAGGTACAAAGCTGCAGTAGGTATAAAGCACCTAAAAAAGGGAGGAAATAAGATAATAATTTCAGGCCTCTAATGTTAGGCTAATGAAAAATCCCAGAAATATTTTGAGCAAGGAAAAAGATGATAAAGCTAGAATTTCAGAAATATTAATATGATAGATTTACAGGGAAATATATTGATTGTACACACAAAAACACTTGAAAGACTGCTATTATACAGTCAACATCTGAAGTGAAGAATGCCTGAACTAGAGGGTGGTAAAAAGTCAAAAAGGTAGGTGAGCAAGATGCTGAAATTAGGTGTTACTCAGTCTGTGCACTGTAAAATTTCCAAATGTAATAGGCCTGAATATTTGGAATATTCAAAATAGTGGTACCTGACAAATAATAGGCTTTGCAATTATTTTGCTGAGCACTCTGGCCAATTGAATAAAATCTTGAGTGGACTAATACGAACTGCTCCTTGATCAAAACATCAGAGCATTAACGCTATCTGCAGTAGGTAGTCTTCATCTTAAAGGGTTTAATGCCTGGAAAACTGGTTTCAATTTTTTTTTCCCTTGGTAAAATTTTTGGCTTTTAAAATAACCCAGTTATAAACACTCAGGTTCTTGATGATCTTCCTGAATGAAAGCATCAAGTTCTTACAAATTATTTTCTGCCACAATCATTTACCAGCTGTTTACCATGTAGCAGATGTTGTGCTTTACAATACAACCTCCTCCCAGCAACCTTACTGGTAACAGTACCAGTATCCTTGCCTGGTAGATGAGGAACCCTGTAGCACAGAGAAATTCAGAGATTTGCCCAAGAAAACATAGTAAGTGGTGGAGCTATAATTCAAGCCGAGACCATATATCTCCAGGATCTACTCTCTTGAGCAGTATGCCCCCTGTGTGATCTTTACCTCTTGGCACTTATTGCATATATAATTTGGTATTTCTCTGCAATATTAAAGTGATATTCATTAATTAAATTATAAACCTCCTTAAGATAATTTCCTTAGGTTGGCCAGACAGCTCAGCAGACTAAAGCACCTGTTTAGGCAGGCACAGGGACAGGGGTTCCAACCCCAGCATGCCAGGCTGGCCCTGCCCAGGGGTGCACTGAGGGGGCAACTGAGATGGCATGGCACGTGCCTGTAATCCCAGCATTTGGGAGGCTGAAAACAGGAGGATCGCTATGAGTCCAATCTGTGTAGTAAGACCCTGTAGACCCTGTACTAAAATACATTAAAAAAAGATAATTTCCTTAAGAGCTAGTATTTTGTCTAGTTGTTATTGTTTTGTCTATCCCTATTACAGTGACTGGCACTCATTTGGTAATCAATAAATATTTGCTGAGTTCATACATAACTGTTACATTTGCCCAGAACTTAGTATTCCCTGAAGTATTGTGCTCTGTGTATTTTCTGGTTATGAGAAATAGGTCCTCTGCTTACTCCCTTTTCACTGTCCTGAGGGTAGAACTCCCTGGCTTCCCCTCTCAGGGGTGTTCCTTGACTTCCTCCTTTTGGAAGGAGGGTTGGTGCCTTTGGAATGGGCTTCCTCCAGAAAGGAGTCAGAGAAGTGCCCAAAGGCAGAAAGCAAAGAATGTAAAACATGCCTTTTAATCAGTAAACTAATTTCATTCTCTACTCCCTTGCCATTCCTCAAAAGGAAGCACAAACTTGGACTTAAATTTGCCTTGTTTTTTCAAAACTTTATCCAGAATTTTTTAATTTTTTTAATGGCAGTTCCATTTTGCAAGATAGGCTGGGTGCTCTGTTAGCACCCGGATTCACCCAAGGAGGTCTTAGACTTTTGTGGAAATCCTCTCTAATGTATTTTACTTCTTGGCAATCAAATTTAAGTTAATGACTATAATCTGTTAGGCAAAAAGCATCTAATATTAGAAACAAGTGAAAGAAATTATTGGGTGATCTTAACACAGTGCTGAGTCGTTTATACAACACAGCCAGATCCATTTGCTCTGTCCACAAGAAGCCTGCAGAGAAGGGCTTCATGGGCCTTGGCAACTTCCTTTCACATTGATCACCTTTTCTGAGCAGGAGACAGTTGTAAGGGATAGAAGAGAAAGAATTCAAGGTTTCCTGGTAAATTTCAAGATACAGAAAAGTATAAGATAGGAAATGATAACTACACAAAGTTAGAATTATCAGATGACAAAGCAGGAGTGCTTGTATTTGATAAGTATTTATCAAGTATTTACTTCTTCAAATATATTGCTCTTCCTGGTCATTTGTTTGGAAGGCTAATAATTTGATTGGTAGGTTGGGTCTATTTCTCTACCATACTTATATGTCATGTCTACTTGAGTGTATACAAGTACACAGACACACTTTTCAGAGACAGTAATAACACTGACTTAGATTGCTTTTCCTGAGTCCACCTACCTCCTCCATTTCTTCTGTCCTTACTTTGCTCTTCAGATACAGACATTGCAAAATAGAACCAACTACAATTCCATGGAATTTCTGTAAAAATAAAAAGATATACAATGAGAATTATCCATGCTGACATGGTTTCATTCAAACATGTGCTTATTGGGGCTGGGGAGATGGCTCAGTAGAATAAGTGCTTCCCTGGCAAGCGCAAGGGCCTGAGTTCAATCCCCGGTTCCGCAAAAACAAAACAAAACAAAACAAAACAAAAAAAAAAACATGTGCTTATGAAACTTGGAACTTGACCCCTGATCTACTCCTAATATGCATATGGCAGATTTCAGAACTTACATTTATCCTCATTATAGAACTATATTTTCAACAGTTGTAAGACGTATTTTACCTCCTGGCAACCTAATATAAATTGATGACTACAGTCTGTCAGAAAAAAAGTCATCTAACACTAGAAACAGGTAAAAGAAATTATTGGATGATCTTAATGCAGTTCTGGTTTGTTTATACTTTTAATAGTTCCACTGATTAAATAACCTTTAAAACACTGAAGTTGGGCATGGTGGTGAATGCCTGTAATCCCACCACTCTGAGAGGCTGAGACAGGTGAGCACAAGTTTAAGCCCATACTGGACAACTTAGCTAAATCCTACCTCAAAAAGCAAAAATGGCTGAGGTTGTTTTAGTGCAAAGGTCACAGGTTCAATCCCTAGTCCTACTCCTCCAATTCATGGTATTCCATTGAAGAATAAGCTATGACTTATTTTATTTGATCCTCTATGGTTAGTCATTTCTAAGTTTGTATTATAAAAGCTTTTGATATTAATGAAGATAATGTTCTTTTCATACTTAACTTTTCATATTCTTAGGCTATTTTAAAACCATTTCTTACTAAAAAAAATATAGTTCCATTGATAGAACTATTTTTAAGACACTACAGGGAACAATTTTTTTTTTTTCCAGTACCGGGGATTGAACTCAGGACCCTCACTTGCCAGGCAAGCGCTTATTCTACTGAGCTATCTCCCCGGCCCCTACAAGGCACAAATTAACTTGTTGAGTTTTACCCAATAGAGATACAAATACTTTATGTCTAATAGAAAAGATAACTTTAAAGTTTATATAACTTATTGCACTTTAGGATATTAATTCATTCCATATACAATTTAGAAGTTTTAACATTTCTGTATCAAATCAACTAAACATATAGCTTCTAAATTTTCATTTGAATTGGTCTTAACATCTTACTAATTCCTTCATTAATGAATTAGATAATATTTTTGATACTGTTCTTTTTATAATTATATAAAACATGTTTTTGGCAATCTTTTTTGGGACCCCTCCTATCTCAGGAGCTACTCTTATCCCCCATTCCTATTCCCACTTAATTTCTCCAATACATTTTTCTACTCCTAAACTCCGTTGTTCTTTAGAATTCATTCTTTGACTTCAGGAGACACAAACTCAGCATATTTGACATCTAATATTTCCCCTCTATAATCTTGGAGATCCCATATAGATACTTGAAAGGACACTACATGTTTCCTGAGATCCAGATCCAGTCCTTACTTTGTTTTTCTTGTACTAAGACAAAGCTACTATTGCTCAAACAATTACTAGCCACGTCTTCCACATAAAGGATCCATTCAAGCCTCAGTTATTTCCCATTCTTTATCAAGTAGTGCGATACTGATGAAATGGTGAGATTATTTCCATGTCAGACTGAAGATTAGGAAAAAAACAGAACTTTATTAATAAAGCTAGCCCCTGGACATAAGGCTAGCCACCAGACACTTCCAGGGTTACAGATCTTAAATGTCTGGCTGGTGTCTGAAAGTGCTTTCCTGATCCTTACAGATCAGAAACATGTCCCGCCTCCTTCTTTGTTTTGTCCCTCCTTAAATACCTTCTTGGTTTCCTTGGTTTCCATGGCAACCATGATGGAATGCAGTAGTTGTTGGCTCAAGAAGTCACAGGCTTCTTTGTAATAAGTTCTGTTTTCCTCTTATCTCTTTTACAACATCTTAACAAGGGTGGGGAAGGAGTGTGGGAGTGAGGCATCTTAGGTAGGATCATGTAGAGCTGACTCTGACTTAGTATCTCTTATCTTTAAGGTGGATTAAAGGCTAAACTAGAGCTTCTTTTGCTAGGATAAAGTTAACCCAATTGGGAGGCACCATCCCCTACATTGGTGCTTTGGCATGGTGTATTTTCTACTTTGTTTTTGTCCATAAAGATGAGTTAGTTTTTACTAAGCTTGTCTCAACTGTTTTGCACATAGTAGATTTCTCTTGTTTCTTGGTCGTGGTATTGGGGATAACCAGGGCATTCACACTGAGTTACATCCCACCACTACTCATCTATCATTTATCTAATTTAATTTTTTTTTAACATTCAGGATTTTTATTTAATTTTTCTAGCAGACAATTTATATACCTCTTTCACCCTTTCCTTTAAGTTAGTGTGATAATTCTATAATAAACTACTTAAAGAGAAGCTTTGGTCAAGAATGGAATGAAATCGCAAAAACAAAACAAAACTGCTGTTTTTAAAAAACCAACACTTTCACCAATTATATTCAAACAAAAACACAATATTTGCGTGGGATGTTACAGTGTTTCCTTGGGCTGGCTTTCCTCACCTTCATGCGAAGGAAGGAACGGCAGGGCGGTGCTCGGCTGCCACTCTCATGCTGGGTGGCAGGTCCGCTCAGCTTCACATTATTCGGAGGCCCTGGATTGAGGACTCTAAGGTCTTGAAATCCCAAATTGTCATGGCTCCATCAATGCCAGTAGTACAAAATTTGCGACAATCTTGCTTGTCCACCTCATAAATAGACACTTGAGTGATGCTATTCTGGTGCAGTGTCTCCAAAGCTGTATTGCGGTCCTCAGTGGTCGCTCTCTTGTCCATGTTGCGGAATCGTTCCATGGCAGACATATTACGCTGAATGCTCTGTTTTGGAATGTCAAGCTTGGACACGAAGGTCAAGCAACCGCGGTCATCATAGTTAAAGAGCATTGGACAACAGTCATGGCCGGCAGCCACAACGCTGTTCTTGGAGACAAATGACACACTCAGGAGTGGCAGAAACTCAGTTTTCAGAGTGGAGACCTGCACACTTTTTGAGGCATCAGCAACAGACACGGTGCTGTCATGACTGACCCAAGCCAGGCGGCTCCCACTGGCAGAGAAGCTGACCCCATGGACCCAGCCACCAGTGCCACTGCCACCAAACTCTGACATCAGCTGGCCAAAAGGCATCTTGCTGCCCCAGGGTGTACTGGCTGGCTTTTCATCCACTTCTTTAATGTAGGCAGAAAACACTCTGCATTTGAAATCACAGGATCCTGCTGCCAGCAAAACGTTGTTGGGATGCCAATCCAAGCTGAGGACCGTAGAGCGAATTGGCTTTTTAATGTGCTTACTCACCCACCAGTCATTTTCAGACTCGAAGTAACAAACAGAAATGAGCCATGCTCCACTTCCCACAGCAAATTTGTTCTCTAGAGGGGACCACTTCACAAAAGTGGCTGCATGGTTAATCCTCAAAATCACCAATGTTGGCTTCCAAACACCATCTTTCTGGCTCCAAACGTAGGCATTGCGGTCCGCTCCACAAGTTACAATGCGATCGCTCTTGGGTGCCCAGTCGATCCCTGTGATGTGTCCATTGTGCTCCTTGAGTTCATGAGCTTTCACCCATTGGCTCCCCTTCTTCTTATAGATGTGAACTTCGTGATTATTGGGACTAAGGGCAATCTGGGTACGGTCCCTGTTCCAGGCATGGCAGGTGATTGGCTCTAGTAAAAACTGGTGCAGGGACATATTCTTAGTGTTTTCAAAGAATAGAAACTGAGGTCTGGGTGGTGCAGAGGGGCTTGCAGCGGAGAATTCGCGGACTCCGGTCAGTCGATGCGAACAGGCTCCGGCGGGTGCAGGCGGAGGCCGGAGGCCCTATCTAATTTAATTTTGAGACAGGGTCCTGCTGAGTCACTAAATCACCCAGGTCAGGCTTGAACTTGTGATCTTCCTGCCTCAGTCTCCTAAAATGCTGGGATTGCAGGTATGGCCACTGTGCCCACCAACATACCAGATATTTAACAGATGTTTGAATGAAATTCTAGAAATTCTGTGTCATGCTTTCCTTTAAATACATTTTATTGGTTTTATAATTTGGTGGCCAGGATGAGATAATAGAAGAAGTGCTGACTGGAATTTTGGAAACCTCAGTTGGTTTTTTTGTTTGTTTTAATGTATTTGGTACAGGGTCTACAGGGTCCCACTACGTAGATTGGACTTGTAGTGATTCTCTTGTTTTCAGTCCACCAAGTGCTGGGATTACAGGTGCATACTACATTTCCCAGTCTCAACTGGAGTCTCAGTATGTCTAGGGGGTGGGGACAGCATGGTACTTGGAGGATCGAACCCAGCCACTGCTCTCTGCCTAAGCAGGCACTGTAGTCGCTGAGCTATCTGGCCAGCCCAGGAAACCTCAGTTTTATTCTTAGCTTAGATTCTTAAATCATTTGTACCTAAAGCAAATATCTATCACTTCCCTTCCTTACTGAAGAAAATCACGTAAAACAGAGGCTTTCTGCAGAGTGAGAAGGTTTCCCAGGAGGTACAGCTGAGGATAAAGAGCAAGGAGAAGGTGGAAGAAAGCACTTCCTCTCCATCTGACTAGCTGCCTTTATCTGGAATTTTCTTTCTATTTTCAATGGAGAATAGTTTCTGCTGTTAAAACCATCTGGAGGCGTCTGGGATACATATTTCAAAATTCAAGAACTATAAATACACCAGCATTTTAAAACACAAGCACCTGGAATTTGACAGTTTATAGAGCATTTATGTTTTCTCAGGCTTTTAATCTCATTAATTCTTTTGATATAGATGTCAGTTTGGTTTAGGAGTATAGCTCAGCAATAGAGTGTTTGCCTAACATGTATGAGGCCCTAGGTTCAAACCCCTATACAAAAATTTAAAAATAAAAAGACCTTTTCTTCTGTGACTATGAGATAGAGGCCAAAATTTATGTTTAGTAGGCCTCATGGTGGGAGAAGGCTTGGATTCTGGAAACT